AAGTATGGCAGGTTTAACAAACAGGCTCAATAAAAACAGCTTTCTTCAATAAATGGAGCGCTTGTTTGTGTCCTTGGCTAGACACCGGCTGTCCTGTCTTTATTTCTTGTTTATTCTATTGTGCTGTATGTGCGCTAAGGGTTTTAGTGGTGAGATTTGGAGCCATGGCCTTTTACATCAAAATGCCCAATCAAAAACCCTTTCTCCTTTGACTGCAAAGAGATAACCCTATTTAACCACCCGTCTCTCTGTGTCTGGCACTTGCCTGGTTTTAATTGCTTTGCCAATTAGGGGAGGTCTGAGACTAGCTAATACATTTCCACCTAATGGTGCGCTTGCTCAGAATGCGGACCAGACGTAGGTGCCATTCAGATGTGAAGACCTATTACCAGATTGAAATAGATTTTTAACGCATTTATCATTCATCTTTGCAGGATGGGATTTCAATCAGAAAAAAAAGTGACGAATGGTTTGACAGCTTCCAGTCGTAGACGTTAAAATATAATATGCTTCTGCTAGTTTTCAGCCATTACAGACCTTAACATGCAATGTGACCTTGGTCCACAGACCATGTTTGGGTAGCACAAAAAACTTAATCATAAGAAGTCCTAAGTAGAATCCTTCTTCTTTACTGCCCTCTTTCTGGGACTAGGAAATTTATTGCTTGTGGGACAGGTAGGGTATGAACAATGGGCCAAATAGAGTCCAGGGTTATCTCATCTGTGTGAAAACTGCTGCTGAAAATCGATGTGACCTCTGCTACGCTGTCATCCCAATTCCCACCCTCTGTGTCCTATTTGTCTTTTGGTAGAAGCTTAGATCTGTGTGCTGTCTCCATGTGTCTCTCGTGGGCCAGATTATCAAAATGAATCATTGCCTGCAGACCTCTTATATTTCTATTTATTTTCCTGGTGTTGACTAGGTCTGATGAAATATGATTCTTTTTGCATTTGATCCTTACTGCAGCAAGCAGCACCTAATTTAGCTGTGTCTATCTCTTTAAAGAAGAGTAATACTATTTTGAAACTTCAATCTACTGTACAGCAACATTACAAACCAGAGACCGTGCAACCTGTCTTCACAGTCAATACCAATTTTCCTTTCGGCCAATTTCATAGCATTACTTTCATCTCCAAATCGAAGAGATTTCTAGCTATTTTCACGTAGTTAGAGTTTTGTTTTATGCACACTGTTTTAGGCGTTGCTTTCCTCTGCACCACTACTTTGTTTTTTCTCGGGTCTCAGCCCCTTGCCACTGATGTCTCACGTCTGTAGACAATGCACCATCCTCATTAACCCATTAATTCTCAGAACTCTGCCTTGATAGAAAATATTTCATCAGGAGAATATCCTATTGTCTCTGAATCAGTAGGAAGCCAGTGTTCTAAGTTTGTAAATCCCCTTCTGAAAAAGAGATATTTGGGACAACATCAGATCTGTTCTTTTACTAATATTGGTAAATCATTACAAAGACATTCTATCCACTTAATGCACTCACGTGGTGAAGATCAAAGACCATGTAAACAGAGACTTCAAACAATACAAGGAAAACCCAAAACGTGGCTTGGGTTATTGTCAGGAAATGCTTTAGAGACACATAATAGTGGCTGCCTAAGACATGCCTTACAAACATGCCTTAGGACTGTGTGTGTGTGTGTGTGTGTGTGTGTGTGTGTTTACAAGAAAATAGTATTGCAGATGTTACGATGCTGCGTTTTAATTGTGTCCCCAACAGTTGTAACTGATATGCTGATTCCCTCTGGGCTAACCTTCCCCCACTGCCCCCAACAAAAGGAAGAAAGAGAAAGAAAAGGGCTCACTAAACATGTAGCATTCTAATGGTAGATCTTCAAATTAATATGACCAAGGCAGGTGACAAATGAAACTATGGGGACTGGGCGTGTAACTGCCCTTGGAAACAGATGCAGCAGGAATTTACGGGCAATATGTTAATTTCAAGCTTTACTAAAACCAATTGCAGTGAAGGTGCTCCTTGTCTCATAACTTAGGTTTGCCGCATTGCATTGAATTCTTAGGCACTGGGACACAGATGCTCGAGTTTTCTGCATACCTGAGAATCACAGAATACACATTCCCTGACCCCATATTAAGTAATCAATTAGTAGTTTGTATCCTCTAGGTTCTGGGAACATCAAGATATTAAGGGCCATTTATTGGGAGAAAACACTCTACCATTAGCTCATTTCACTGCAAGTTCCCGCAATGATTTGCCCGTGTTTCCCATCCAAGGACTCCCACAGAGTAACGTGATGACTGGGAAATCAATGGGGTTCAAGACTCTCTTCACTGCATATGTAGGCTGCTTGGATCTGAAAAATGAGCTTCAACTGAACCCCAGATCACTGTCTGAGTCCCTAAAGACGCCAGGAATAATGTGATGAAAAAGTCTCCTTTCCAGATCTCATGGAAATTGGTTTGTTTTAGGTTCGAGCCTAGCCAGCAGCCTGAAACGTGTTCCGTCAGAGGCCCTGTGAACCTTTGCCACCAATCCAACCTGTGTTCAGAGAGGCACAGAGTTGCAGGGGACCACTTAGTCCAACCTGGCTACGTCGCCCCCATCATTTACTTGGGAAGTTGATTTTTGGAAATCAAGTACAAGACTTTTCATACCTATTTTATTTCATCGTATTAACACTGTAGTCTGCCAAGATCTTTTTCACATGCTGATTCTGCCATCCAACATATTAGTTACCCTCCTAGATTTGTTTCATTTCCAAATACGACAAATATGCCGTCCATGCCTTTACCTAAGCCTCTGATAAACATGTTTAAAGAGCACAAGATGAAGCCCAGATCCATGAGGCACTCTTCTAGGGACCTCCTTCAAAGTTGACATGGAAACCATATTGTCTTGTGGCATTTCCTCACTTTTTTCCACAGAACCAAAATTGGAACCAAGTAGCACTGATTTCTCTGTCACTAGTTATTGGCATTACCGCCCCCCCCCCCCCATTCCCAAGCAGTAGGTCCATCACTTCTTTGATATACCTCTTTCCTCTATTCTAACTGAACATGATTTTTTAATTGTCCTTAGTTTTTCTAATAGAATTCTAATTGCCTCAAATCACAGGTTGTAGGCATTGGAGACAGAATTTGAACCTGGATCCTCTGCTTGGCGAGTGCTCTTGCCCCTGTACCACGCTGTTCTAGGTGTCTCTACTTCTCTTCTTCATCTGTTGTCGCTACTCACTGTGGGATCTAGCTTGGTGGCTTCCTCTTAGCAGTTTTCTCTCTCCCTTCATTTTCAGTTCAAAGCCCCTTTTATCGGATTTGCAGAACACCAAGTAGATCATCTTCCTGGCTCTTGATTGTTATCCTCCAGGCCAGGCCAGCTGCCTGTCATTCTCAGATTTCAAGATATGGTCCTGAAATCCAAACCCCATTTTCCTTTCCGTTTGTTCACTTTAGCTGGTATCATTTCATCCCTATTGGCTATTTAAAAGGAGACAGCCTGGTGCAGTGGAAATCTGAAGTCATGGGACTTAGATTCAGATTCTGCCCCTTACTGCCATTTTAGACTTGGGGCTGGTCATTCCCTATTTCTGAGGACTCTAGAAGATGACCTTGATGGTCCCCTTGCAATATATTCCATGGTCTGACTGTAGTATTCTCCTGCTCAAGAAGCTCCAGTGGCTCCCTATTATCTCCAAAATAAAAATCAAAGCCTCCTGTTTGGCATCTAAAGCTCTTCACAATGTGGTTTTGCCTTATCTTCTTAGCTTATTGTACGTTATTCCCCTAAATACACATCATTATACCCCAACTGGGCGACTTTCTTCTTCCACATTCCATGCCATCTCCCACCTCTGTGCCTTTGCACATGTTAGTTGCCCTCCCAGATTTGTTTCATTTCCATGTGCCTATGCACATGCTTAGAATGGAAAACCTTTTCTCACCTTGAGCCCTTAAACTCCTGGCTTCCTTCGCAGCTCACTGGCACTGCTCCTTCCTCTACAAGCCTAAGCCTGATCGTAGGCTGCCTCGCTAATATCTCCAGCTGAAAATTCCTTTGTATTGATCTTTCTGTGTACAGGTTATGTCTTTCAGTAGAGCATAAACTCCTTATGGGCATGAACTATTTCTTTTGGGGGCTTGATTTTTCCAGCACAATGCCTGACACTCAGCAGTTGCTTAATGAAAATGCTCGTTGAATGACTGAAAGAAATGCTCCTCAGAAAGGTAGACCCAGTGGGTGTTGTTTCTGTGCTATCTTTGTTACATTGGTTACACAGCAGTTTTTTTTTGAAGGGCCCTATGGAGCCTTTGAAGAAAACTCACAATGTGCCTGCTTGGGAAAGTGCTTTCCCCAGCCCAAGATACTGCCTTCCATACAGTGGAAGACAACAGCTAACTTGGCTTGAATGAGTTTGACTCTAAAGGGAGGTCAGCTGGCACATTCTGCCTTAGGAGGATGTCTGTGATGGCCTTGGGACTTAGCATCCTCCTTTTCTGTCTTTTTTTTTCTTGTTAAACCCTCCCTCACCCCCCCATTACTGACCCAAATGCTTCTTACTCTGACTTTTCCCTTGCACTAAGACCCCCTGTCATTTAGAGAGAATCTCTTTGGAGCACTGTGAGTGGGAGAGAAGAGAAATTAAAGGGAAAAGGGCTTAGACATTGTGTTCGCTCATTATAGTTGATATTTTTAAGTTCCTAAATATGTTTCTTTGAAGCAAAGGTAATTCACCTTCTTGTAGGTAACAGTATCCTTTGAGGAGAGTACGGGTGCTCCAATTGGACAAATTTAGCTTATTTCCATGTTTTCTTGTCCCTGTTTAGTGACAACATGCATTTCAGTCATCTTCGTTTCTCATTATTTTAATTCACTTGCGGAAAACTAGAGGCAGGGGGATGGACCAGATGAATTCTGCCATTTTAGACTATTTGAACACTTGGGTCTTTTTGGCAGCTGCTAATGAGTGACTACTTTGATGTTTGGTTCCACTTGTTTCTAAGTGTAATATTATTTGATTTTGCAGAAGAGGTGCAGGTTGCCATGCCGATGATGAAACCAGGCCTAGAGAAGGCCCAACTGGCTGGACAAGCCATGCCTGCTGGCTTCTCCTCACCATTCATTTTTGCTGATAGCCTTTCTTCTGTGGAAACGCTTCTGACCAACATTCAGGTAATTATTTTGCTAGACAAAAATCAGTGTAACGTAATAATTATCAAATGTTAGTTGTCATTCTTTGTGACATTCCAGACAACATTAAAATATTGAATTTCACTGGTTATTTAATTTGCCAAAGATGAATTGTGCAAACTTGGATAGTTTTTTTTTTATCATTTTAAAACAATGAAGCGCAAAATTTTTATATGAGAACGATTTATGTAAATTGTTCCCATTCACAGATTTTCCAAATAAACTGCATTTGATCATAACCTATGTAAAGCTATACGTGCTTCATTTCTAACAATAAGGTTTAGGGCCTGAATTGGTCTTGCCTTTAGGATGGGGAGATGGAAAGCAGCCTTCTAAAACATTCTGTCACCTCTAGGGCTGAAAAGTCCTTTTTTTCCCTTAACATTAGTACCTCTTGCTTCAGCACACTTCCCAAACATCCAGTCTCCATTACAAAATTTGTTTCCCAAAAACACCTAAGCAAAACTGCCTAATGCAGCAGCGGGGACCGATGAGATACCTCACTGTCCACTTCTGTGGATAATGATTGTTAATGGAAGGTTTAATTTTGTAATGGTGGAAACAACACCGGCCATTGTGGTTTGACCTGAGTTTTGTTACTGTTTTGTACGTTGGTTAGTTGTGTATAGTGCCAAGATATGAAATCTGGGAGATGAAAATTTTTTTTGAGGATTACTCCTTCTTTGATATACTGGACTTCTAGGCAATTTGGTTCAGTTTAACGATCCCACTTTAAATATACTCTTCCATTTTTCTTTATTATCATGACTTTAAAAAAACAAAACAAAACATGTACTATCCCTGCTCCCCCCCGCCCGGTTCATTCATTGTCAAGCAAGAAGATGGAGTCTGTCCATTGCTGGTGATCATCTTAGATGAGGACTGGAAGGGGCCTTTTATATGTCCTGGGTGTAGTTTTAGAGGCTTGGGGGAGATCTGTAAAACAGTGACTGAGCTTCATAATTTAGCAGCCAAATGCAAATGAAGGTGAGTTTTCCAGTCCAAATAATGCTTCTCTTTAGATGGGTATTTATTGCAGCTATTTAATCACCTCTGAGGCATCAAGTGGTCAAGACAAAGAGACTGAACTTGAAGAACGGTGCTTTTGTTTTTTTCCCAGGGCCTCCTGAAAGTGGCTCTCGACAATGCTCGCATCCAGGAGAAGCAGATGCAGCAGGAGAAGAAAGAGCTGAGAATGGAGCTCTTCAGAGAGAGGGAGCTGAGAGAGACCTTGGAAAGACAGCTCGCCGTGGAGCTGCAAAGCAGAGGTGAGTCTGGTGGCATGGCAAAAGCCACCATCAAGGCAGCAATCAGTGAGGCATGGAGAAGGAGACGCTGAGGGGCAGAGGGGCGTAGGGCTGAGCCTGCATCACTTGCAAATACTGGATACTCAAGTGGCGTTTTCAACTCTAGTTCTAGTCAATAGAAGGGCCTTGGAGTCTGGAAAACCCCTCTGACATGGATTTTCTAAATGATCATGAGCCAGTCACTTAATCTTGGTACCTAAGGCAACTTTGTAAGACTCTGCATTATACAAATAAATGACCAGCCTGCATCCAGGAAAGGAGTCGCTTCATGGAAATGACAGGTCTGAACCTACTGTTCCCCCCCACCCCCGCCCTAAAGAAAAAAAAAACTGAAGATGGTCAAGTAATGAATTTCGATCCTGTCTCTAATGCCTGTTAGCCATGTGACCACTTAAATTCTCTAATCCTCAATTTTCTCATTTGTGAAATGGAGACAATAATACCTATGACCACCGTCTCACCCTATTGTGAGGCTAAAGGGGAAATTATCTGTAAAGCGCTTTGTCAGCCTTAACATGTTATGTAAATGGCAGCAATTGCTATTCATCTATGGCAGGTAATGGATGACAGGAATGGCATCTATCAAAACCACAGATGATATGCAAACCTCACATGGGGCAGCAGCTTCTGACTTCTCTCCACTAAGCCTTTCACCACAAGTGCTACCCCCAAACCAAAAGTACCCTCTCCCTCCCTCCCCACCCCAGACGTCTCAATGGTAGGCTGAAGGATGGAGAGGCCAGCTGGCCAGCAGATGTGCCATACCCTGGGGCAGTGACATCCCCTAACTACTGGAGGTGGCATGTCCGTCGTCAGGAGGCTTGTCCCAATTGGCTGCAGTAAGTGCCAGCCTGCGTATTGACTTCTCCGCTGCCTGTGCAGGGCTGCTCTGGGGAAGACTTTTTCCCTTGAGGTTGGAATCATCATTCCTTCTCAGAATGGAAATTTAGTCATCGAATTCAAGGAGAACTAAACCTTCTTATCTTGGCTAATTCAGTGAAGACTGGAGAAAGCAAAGGCAAAATCATTTTTCTACAGTTTGAGACAATTAGTGGATTTCCATCATTTGGCACGCAGAGTCAGGTATGGAGATCGACACAGTCATACAAATGAGCATTTGCTTAGTGGAGACCCCCCCCCCCCCCCCCCGACAAATGCGTGCTCCCTCCTTTTGTGGGGCTATGTAAATAGACCTCAAAGTCTTTTTCTTGCCTCATGCAGTAAGCACTGGCTAGGGGAGCTCTGAGGCACCTCTTTGTTTTTGGTTACCTTACCTCTGATAGGGGAATGGTGAATTGGCCAGAAGGCAGGCCCAGGCTTTTACAGGTCCCACCTTTGACACATACTGGCCCGGTGCCTATGGGCACAGCAAGAATCAGGCAGTGCCCCAGGGTAACTCCCTACCTTACAGCTGAGTCGCCAATTTACATGGATAGAGAGAGTTCTCTCCCCCTCCCCCAAACTGGCGAATTACACTGTTACAGAATTAGCTCTCTTTGAATCAGTGAGAGTCACTCATGTGAATGAATACTGCTGAATCAACTAGATCAATTTTAAATTCGAATTGGCACCAATATATGTGCTCTTGATGTAAATACTGTAGAATAGAATTACAGAATGTTAGCACTGGGAGAAACCTTCAAGATCACCATCTAGTCCCCATCCCCATCTTTTGAACCTACAAGGCCCCCAGAGAGACTGCCATTACTTGCCCCAAATTAGTTAGGACTAAATCCCAGGCCTCACCTTCTACCCAGGCCACTCTAGTACCTTTTAAGTCACATCAGAATCTGCTGTGAATATATAACATGGATTGAAATGCAACGTTTTTGTAGAGAGACATCGTGATGGGATGGGAGAGAAGAAGACCTAGGTTCAGATCCTGCCTAAACTCACCAGCCCTTTGACTCTGGGCTGTAGTGTCAAACTCAGTAGGGGTCATTACACTGTCCATTAGGATCCCCGAAGACCACATATGAACTCAGTTTTAAAAAAGAATATTATCTATGTCTTATTATAATTTTATTTCTTTTGTTAAATAATTCCCAATACATTTTAATGTGCTTGGGGCCACATGTTTTGATATCTCTGGCCAGTTGGCCAGGGTTACAACAGCCAGCACGTTCAGCAGTGTCTCTTAAGCTGAGGTCTTCTCGACCCTACCTCATACGACAGGGCCACTTTATCGTGCACATTACAACAAATATTTTTGCAGATCCATAAATAATAGAGGAGGAAGAAATATGAAGGCCAGTCTGCCTAAAATCTTGACACAAAGTAAAACTTATTTTAAGTTCTCACCCAATCATTTCCCATGACCATTGGGCTTAAGTCTCATAATTCTCCAGGGGATACACTTTCACGATTCTATGATTCCTTGGGTTTAACAATGCTTTGTATCATGTCAGTCAAATTGTGAAGACTAAGGGGCAAAACACTGAAAGCTGAGGCCTACTTTTCCCCCCACCTGGAAAAAATGAGAAATTCATTTTTTGTTCTTGTGGTGGTGGTGGTGTTGAGACATTTTTCTGTCATGTCCGACTCTTCTTGACCCCATTTGGGGTTTTCTTGGCAAAGAGCCTGGAGTGGTTTGCCATTTTCTTCTCCAGTTCATTTTACAGATGAGGAAACTGAGGCAAACAAGGTGAAATGACTTGCCCCGGGTCACACAGTTAGTAAGTGCCTGAGGCCCCATTTTGTGCTCAAGTCTTCCTTATTCCAGGCCCAGCGCCCTATGCCCTGTGCCATCTAGCTTCCCCTTTTTTCTTGTGGCTTGTTCCAGAATCCTCTATAGCAGAGGTGTCAAACTTACAGCTGTGTGGCTGCAAACTCCTAAGTGCTGGGGGAACAGATTAAGATGCAATTGGAGAATATTTAACAGAATAACCACAAATACAATACAATGTAGATAATGTGCCCTCGTGATCTTCTAAGTCGGTATGAAGCCAGCAGGGGATCAGCTTCTGTTTGAGTTTGATTGTGGTGCTCACCACTGGCTCACTGACAGCTCTGCTCTTAGAAATATTTGTAGTGCCCTAGTGACATGCTTGCATATAAAACAGGGCTGCCTCTCAAAGAAAGACGCGCTATTTCTGAATTTAAAAATAGTGCATGTCACTTGTCACCTCATCCTATTACAGTAGCTACTTTCTTTTTCACATTTATGGAAGAGAAATAGTAGCCAGCACTCTGTTCTCCCTTTGCCTACTTACAAGATCTTTTTGCCAGTTATTGACAGGGTCCAACAACAGTACTGGTCTTAGTGGATTTCTGAATGGCTGAAAGCCTCAATTTCAGCCCCTCCAGGCAGCCTGCCTGGCATTCTGGCTCCTCAGGGGCAAAGTCTTCACTGATCCTTTCCCTTTGTATATTCCAGCTACGATTCAGAAGCGCCTGAAGAAGGAGAAGAAGGCCAAGAGAAAACTGCAGGAGGCCCTGGAGTTTGAGTCCAAGCGCCGGGAGCGAGTGGAGCAAGCTCTGAAGCAGGCCTCCACAGGTGACAGGGGGAACTCCCTCCCTCTCTGGTGCCCCAATCAGAGCCTAGCTTTCCAAACATAAGCATCGCTGACTGGAGGCCAAGAGTCAAGCCAGTCAAAAACAAGCTACATTCTAGAGAGATACAGAGAGCAGAGAGATAACAGGAAATGTCCGTGATGGGGAGGTAACATGGCAAAAGGCCATTCGCACTGAACTTTGCTACTGACCATGATGTTATAGGCCCCAAGTTCAAATCCTGGTTCTGCCACTTACTATCTCTGTGACCTTGGGCAAGTCCCTTAATCTCTCTGGGCCTCAGTTTTTCTCATCTGTGAAATGAGGAGGTTGGAGTAGTCAACCTGTAAGGTTCCTTTCAGTTTTAGCTCTATGAACAGTCGATACACAAGCATCGATTGAGTGCTTACTGTGTAGCTCGAATCCCCTCACTGCACTTCAAATGAAGCCCTTTTAGGCCCCTGGATGCTCACTGTGTGGCTGCTTATGGATCATTAGTGGGAGGTATGTAACCTAATCCATAACAAACGGGTTCCTGTGGCCCACTCTTAACCTTGCATCCTTTTTCAGTCTTCAAGCCAGAAGAGTCGCCCAGCACCTCTTCATTTCACGGGCTTTTCATATTCTTCATGTGCATGCACGTGTGTGCGGGTCCACGTATAGTAGAGGCAGTGTGGCGTTGTGGGGAGAGCTTGGGCATCAAAGACCTGGGTTCAAGTGCTGCCTCTGATACCTCCTAGCTGGGTGACCCTGGGCATGTCACTAGCCTCTTGAAAGCTCCAAGTTACAGAACTCCTCTATCGGTGGAGGGCATCTCTACTACGAGAGTTTGAAATATGCCAGTGAAACCACCGGTCTGGTCCCAAATATAGATGCACAGATTTGTGATTCTGCGATGTTTCCATGCATACGCATGGCTACAGTCTGCATGTGTGGGAAACACAAAGAATAGGTTCAGTGTTCTTGTCTTGTGCTAACAGCCCCTAGGTGGGTAGCAGGCCCCTCGAGTAATAAAGGCAGCCTAGGCTTACTTGCTCTTTTCACTAATGCCCTAAAGGAATTGCTGGCCTGTCACATCTATCATTGCCGAGACAGGGCTAGATCATGAAGGACAAACCTCAAATAAGGTTCCCATTCCGTGAGCTACAAGAGTGTGTACAGTGAGGGCAGCTCTGGCTCGGGCATGGGCTGTGCAGTGAGAAATAGAGGGAACGTAAAAACAAGCAGGCAACAAAAAGGCATTTAGAACCCCAGGTATATACAGTGCAGCATCCTAGCAGGCGCCACCAGGGCTGGGCCTTCATCCGCTTTAGAAAAAGGAAGGCAAGCTTCTAACCAGGTAAGGGCTGCGTGTTGTGTGCGTCCTTGTCACATGGGCCCTGAGGCGGCTTGGCACCTGGAAGCATTCCCAGTTCGCCTCTCCTCCAGTTCCAAAGGGTGCTATTTTAGAGGGGCAGCAGAGGTTTCAGCGGCATTGTGAGTCCCGTGGATTTAAAGCCCAGCCTGTAGCTCCTCATCCTGGACGGCACGGGGAGGTATTGTGGTATCTCTTAGCATGGGAATTCCCACACACTCGGTGTGTGTCGGAATTCCCACACACTCGGTGTGTGTCAGCCTGTCCGTTTAAAGCTATGTGATGTTCTGTACAGAGAAGCTTGCCTTTCTGAGCCCAGCCAGAGCCCCCCCAAATTCCTTTTTGCTGGCTGTTCCCACGTCAAAGACGTCACAATATAGAAACCAAACATCCTCCTCCGCTATGCGAGGCAAGCCGCTCCCTGTTTTTGAAAGGACTGCAAAAGCTAATCTCTTGTAGTCTTACCTTAGATGAAAAAAAAATCCCGAGTCTGAGACACATTTTGGAAGCCTTCCCACCCTCCCGTCACCCCCATTCCCCTATCAGCACCGTCTGGGGTAGCCCAGGCCTTCCTGGCCCCAACCTGGGCTTCTGACACCTTCCTGTTGTAGTAGAGGAGCTTGACAGAGCAAGCTGGGTGGAGGGAAGCCTCTATATGTGGGTCCTGCATCTTCTCCTCATTTTCCAGTCAAGGGAAGGTACCAGATAGTCTTAAAGGGGATTTTTACCGACAGACCAATGCCATGTGACTAATCTGTAGGGACTGAAGCAAGTGGCAAAGAATTCAAGAACATTGGAAATCCAGGTCCATTTTAGGAACCATCTAGAATTTGTAGCTCCCGGGCCACGGTCCCCCACTAAAACACCCAAACTCGCAAAGCCCTCTACAACCAAAGGCCCAGGCCACCCTCCAGGTTTGGGGCTGGGACCAAAATGCCAAAGCAGAGGTTGCTCTACCCTAAACTTTTCCTTAAGCACGCCAACCAAGCTAAGAGGACTGCATTAATCTTGGGTGTCACATCTTTCAGATACTGCAATGCCAGATAGAGAAATAGAAAACGGGACTCAGCCTGACAACGCAGCAACGATGCAAGGTAGAGTATGCGTATCTTCCCGCCCCAAGGGATGACCACCTGAATGAAGGGCCTTGGCTTGGAGGGGGGTGGGCAGGACAGGAGCCCTTGGGACCACGGACTCTTCTTTTACATGGAGAACTAAGGTGACACAAACTTTGCGTGCCGTTTGACAGAGAAAGCTACTCATAGAACTCATTAATTTAATTTCTTATTGTTGTTAACAGCAAAGTCACGCTAAGAAAAATGATGCCATAGCTATGCAGGGGTGAAGTGATTTCATGCATACAGTGGGAGCAAATTTCAACTGTCTGTCTAGCTGTGCGTTCACCTCAGCATTTATTTTGCTGCCCATATTTGCTAGGTGTTGTGTCGGGTGCCTAGGTTCTCTGAATAATTAAGTACAGAATCAGCACCAAGTAATTTCACAGGCAGGTACAGAGGGGGCCCCCAACAATGAGGTGTCACTTTAGCCTTAAAGGATTCCCAGAGGCAGAGCCACACGGTGGGGAGCTTACGAGGAAAGGAGAGGGCATCCTCGCTGACCCAGTTTTGTTTGTTTCTTATATTCTGGTCTCCTGTCTACCTTGCTGTTCATTCTCCTTTCATGCAAAGGCTCCAGTAGAGTATGTAAAAGCACATATTCCTATCTTAGCAAGTATTCTAAATGACAGTCTTTAAATCAACATGTAAACTGTAAAGCTAATTTCATATAATAATAGAAGTCACCAAAGTAGGGGAAAGTATTACAACCTGAGAGTCCTGATTTCTAGGAAATACCAAAGACTTTCAGTTGCTTTAAGAGCACTGTTTGACAAGCCCAAGAGATCCAAGTGTCCTTGGAGCCTTCCCAGAAGAGGACGGTACTGAAAAGGTTCAAGTCAGAGTCTAGGCTAAGCCCTGGGAATTTTCCACTTTCACCTCTCCATGACATAAAGATGATTCGGGCCTCTTAAAGGTTCTATCAATGGAGCCCAAACTGGCAGCTGGAAAGGTTTGTGTGCAGGCCTGGCAATAGCCTGAATGGCTGTCATCCAAGGAAATATAGCTAAGCTTAGCTCTAGAAGACAGAGCACCAAGGGGTGTCTTTTTAAAAAATCATAGCAATTGATGACCCCCTCTACTGAGGTGTGGAAGAGTTACCTGCCCCGAGGAAAGCACAGATCCTTCGTAGTATTGAAGAATTCCATTTCATTGCTGTCATTCCCCGTATCCATACTGTCTCTATTTTCACAGTGATTGTGAAAACGAGATGTCAACCTAAAGAAAAAGGAAGACTCCCAAATAAAGAAAGATACATGAAGTTTCCCAGTGTAGGTCAAACAGAGCAATGCCCCACAACTTTGCCAAGTCTGATGGGGCTAAAAGATTGTGGAGGGGTGAGGTCCATCTGACTGCTGTCACGTCCTTGATAGTATCAGTGACCCTAGACAGACTTATCTTACTTCTTGGGAAGCAGTCTTTATAGATGTGTATGTTGTTGTTTTTCAGTTGTATCCAATTCTCTGTGACTCCATTTGGGGTTTTCTTGGCAAAGATGCTGGAGTGATTTGCCATGTCCTTCTCCAGCTCATTTTACACACGAGGAATCTCAGGCAGACAGGGTGAAGTGAATTGCCTAAGGTCACACAGCTAGCGTCAGAGACTAGATTTGAACTCAGGGCTTCCCCACTCCAGGCCAAGTGCTGTGTCCACTGCAGTGCCACCTAGCTGCCCCTGATGTGTCTGTACCATAAGGATTAGAGCTATGGAATTTTTGGATCAGGTAGGATTCTGCCCCAGCAGTGCATGCAGCTCCAACTTGTAGGTGCTGTTTAGCGTTTGTGAGCTGAGCTAGTTTCAAATGAGACTTAAAGTTCCTCTGGTTTATTTACAAAAATTCTGGAAAACAGTCTCGACAGTTCTGGGTCCCATCTGAGTCAACTGTGTGTGGTAACAGATAGAATTGGTCATGATGATTCAAATACTGGGGTTGATTTGCCTTCAAAGGCCAATAAGGGAACCTTATGGAAGTCGATAGAAGTGTGAGTCACTGCATGGTCCCAGTTGACCTTCCTCACTTAAGTTCATTCCTGTACAGCTAAAGGACACGATGCCTTAAGCTTACAAGTAACATGTTACCGAGAACATATTCCTTACCATTTGCTCATTTCCCACTCAGTAACTAGGGTCCTTTATTACTCTTTTGTTTTTTAAATGTAAGTTCTAAAATCAAGCAGCAAAATCATCTACTGTGTTCAATGAAGGATTCTTTGCTTTTGTTTTGGTCTGGACATGTGGATTTCACTGGTGTGCCAGGATACAGACCAACACTTGTTCCGCAGCTTTAGAGTGTTTGAGAGTCTCAGAGGATCAGTGACTTACCCAAGGTCACGCTGATAATTTAGTCTCATCAAACACATAGACTTTTAGTAAATTCTGATACTCTCTGCTTAACAAGAGAAATCAAGATCTGCCTTACCAAGGTAGCCTGAGGCAGCTTTGCCCTCCCTTTTGTTACTTCCTTTTCCAAATCAGGAATCAAATTATTGCCTCTGTGTGATCAGTGGTACATTAATGTTATCCAAACGACAGTGGAATCGAGTGAAATTAATGGCTTCTTACTGAAAGAGGCCCTTGTAGATTACATTAAATTCTGTGCTTGATAAGTGTGATGGAAAAAATGAACAAAGTCCTTCTTTTCCTCTCTCCTGGTGCAGCATTGGCCCCCACAAACAGTAAAGCTCCCATCATCGGTTTATGAAATCCCAGAGTAAATGAGGACTGTTAACAGGACACTAGACTCACAATTCCATTTCGAAGAGGTCTTGTTCTAGGAACAAAAAGGGCTCATTCTCTCATCCAGAGAAACAAATGAGGGAACATATTATCAGAGCTCATCTTCAATACAATACCGCCAACCACTCAGCCTGGATAATTGCCTACAAAGCCCTGATAATGCCGCCTCCATTGGAGGTGCTTGGCGTTGGAACAGGACTTTCCTGTGTATCCAAGAAGCTTAGAAAAAGGATAATGCGGGGCCGCAGCATTGTTTTTGTCTTTTTTCGTACTAATTTTTCTCCCTTGTTTTGGGGCTCTTTTCTTTGTACTTATATCCATACTTTTTTTTTTTATCTCTCCCCTTGCCCTTCATGACAATTTTCTATTGAAACTTTGCGGTGAAAATGCCTTCTTCATTTGGAATCACTCAATCCTGCCATGGTTCTCATCGGTTGAATATAGTAGCTTTGTTTGCTAGGATATTAATCTGCGTATAGCTAATACAATGCTAGTTTCCAAATGCAGCCAGCTTACAGCAACAAGCTCCTCCAGCATTAAGCAAGACCTTTCTTTCTCTGCTTATTGGCAGTCGCTCTGCTGGGCAAAAAAAATCTATCATTCACACTGTGTCTTTCCTTTGAAATTCAATGACTTCCCCCGCCAGTATCTCCTTAGAGTTTAAAGGAGGCCTGAGTAAAGGTTGCATTAGCTGCCTTTAGCTGTAAGAAAGTCATGCCATAGGTGCCCATTTCTAAAAGGATTTTAATCAATGGTGGCTCCACTCGGAATCTTACATGCCTAAGAAACCCCTTTAGTGGAACAGTTCTCAGACTTGGCGTGCCATCTTGTAATGGGTAGAGGAGGTGCCACACATATACATGCATCTGGTGATTTCCTAGAAAAGGATGACCTAGGCTATACACCCGTTTGGATTGCAAAACATGACTCTACCCCCACGTGGGGCGCTACGTCCACTCTAGCTGGAGGGTGCTACAAGGAAGCAATGATGCATGCACTGTAATATTCACCCGTCCAGATTTTTCCTTAACTCACATGGGGGCCAGCAAGACAGGACATCAACCATCATATCAACCAAGCTCCACTTCCCATAAAATAAACATAGCAGGTGTTATTAAGTGCACCTTCCGATCAATGATTTTTGCAAATGATATTCAAGTACCATTTGTGTGGTGCTTTTTTGCTGATAAAAGCAAATTAAATTAGTACAACTAGGAGTGTGCTGAGAAAAACTAAAAGTGAACAGCAGCACCATTAGCTAACAAAGTCATATTTTCTCTTTACTGCTTTCTGCCATTTAGTTATTATCCTATTGGAAATCTAATTATAATCCTTTTACTCCCTAGTCAAACTTCACAGTTTTTGCAAGCTTAGCACTGACAAGTGATTTCATTACATTTGATTGCCCACGCCCAGATTGACTTAACTTCACTCAGAGACCTAAAAGCCCTCACAGTTTCTCAGATTCCCTGTTTGCACATTATAGCAACAGCTCCTTTAATTAATTAGCATGAACAGCAGTAACATGAACTGCTGAACAGAAAATAACATCATTTTATGATCGCAAGGAGACTTCTCCTTTTGCATGTTTATACCTTAGTTAACTTTTGTATTACTACACTGCATTGTTAGGGGCTCTTGGTACAGTGGCCAAGGCATGTTTTGGGAACTTGGAAGAGACAGGTATAATCTCAGAAAGAGGGGAGCCAGAGCTCCAATGATGTCACTACTAAATTTCAGTCCATTCTTCCCAGGAATCAAATAGAAGGGTTAGGGGAGATAATCCCGCCAAATCCAAGGGCAGTGACGTGGCGCCCCAGCTGGCTTTGGGATGGGCAGTGTCAGTTGCAGGGGATGCCTTCTTTGTTTCTCTGCTTCTCTGCTTGGCAAAGGTGCAGAATGATCTCACACCAGAGCCTGTGTTACCTGTGTTGTTTTAGCTGTACATCTGGCAGCACCCTAAAGAGGTATTTTTGTTTTTGTTTTCTGTGAATAGCACACCCCCGCAGTTATTATATCCCGGCTCTGTGGCCAATGACGATGAGGCAAGTTGATTTAAGTGATGAACCTACAGAGCCCTTTCCTTGCCGGTAGTGAGCGGTAGCTGGTTTACGTCTCACAGTCCAGTCAGCCATTTGAAATGAAGAAAAATGGGATTGATCGAGTTAGGAGAAAGCAGGGGAAGAAGGGTTAGAATTGGAGACTGCTCCCAGATGTCACGTGCCTCTTTCTTTCTGATACTG